CCCCTTTTCTCTCTCTACCCCTTCTACTGTAAATCATTTCTTCCATTTGTATTATCTTGTCTTACCCCTCCTTTCCTCTTGTATGACATTTTGTAAGGAAGTCTAATTTTAAAACGAGGGGAGCTCTATCTTGAGATTCTCTCAAGAGTTTCCTAATCTGGTCATAAAAGTCTCCTCCTGCAGGGAAACTTGGTAGTTTGCTAAGGAATGTGACATATCCTGTCCTCAGAGGTCAGTCAGGGGCGCAGGCAAAATGCCTCCTGGAAAAGAAGGGGTCAGTATTCAGCATGCTCTCTGCTCCCCACGTCCTTACCTGACTAGTGACAAAAGGTGGGCTAAAGGTGGAGTGATCCAAGGGTGGGAATGGTGTGGCCCAGGGGTAGTTCATTTACAACTCCTATAACTCCCTCCCCTGAGCCACATTACCTGAGCAGCAGGGAGGGGTGGAGCAGTGTGAAACGTCCTGAAGGTGGAAACATTTTATCTTCTCCTGATTAGTCCCTACCTTTCTTGACCCAGTCTTTTGTTATTTAACCCTCTGGACGATGAAGCCTCCGGCTACATAGAGCTGAGAGTGAGTGGGGAAAGCAGTTAGGAATGTCTTGGGTCATTTGAGGGGCCCATGGGTACTGCTTTGAGAGAAACAAAAAGACATGAGTACTAGAGTGAGATTAGTACAAGATAAATGTGGCAGCATCTGGAACCTGTCAATGAAAATCATAAAGAAGATAGAAACCATTCATCTTTCTTTTATCAGGCGATGCAAGAGCTAAGTTGTTCCTTTCACACGGCCAGTGAGGACGAGGCCTGTATTTGGGAATGTAAATCTTTAAGAATGTGGGATTACATTGTCAGAGATGTTGTGGCCTCTCACAGGTCGCTGCCAGGGTTGTCTCCTCCCTTGGTTTGAGCCCAATCCTGGTGGGGTGGGTGTGAGTGGAGGTGACTTGTCTGGGCAGCCTGGGTCATGTGGCAGAGCCTTGGGATTTGGGGAGGGACAGCAGGGAAGCTGGACATGCCCAAAGTGGTGTGCCCCTGCCTGGGTTAAACCATGACCCAAACATGGGCCAGCACGCTCCCCGACACATACAGCTCACTGCAGGTGGCACTGATGGGTGCTAGTGACCTGCAGGCAAAAGCGGGGCTGGTGCATGGCTATTCTGGGTACAGTAAATGAAGAAAAGGGCTGGGGGTCAGGACTTGATCTAGGGGGCTTATGGAGGGGGGTGTTGGCAGAATTGATTGTAGGGCGGAGCACGGTGGTCTTAATGAGGGCTTTGAGTGGAGGTGACAAGAAGCTTGGAGGTAGGGAGCCCCAGGCCATTTGCCATTTCATTGGAGGAAATTGTTTAAATCTTGGAGGATTTGGGGTTCAAAGGTCATGGAGGCATTGACTTAGGTGGCCTAATTTAAATTGTGGACAGGTTGGTGGAGAAACCCTGGGTTCCAGATGAGCACTCAGGAATCTAAGGGAAAGTCCCATGGGAGCCCCCATTTTGAAGGTGTGACAGGGGGGCCGTTGAGACCAAGGCCTTCCTTGAAGTCTCTCTCCCATCACCAGACAGAGCTCTACCAGAGAATGAGGAATGTCTTCTCTCCATCCTCAATGGGGGGGGACCCCTGGGGTCCGAAAGGGCAAAAGGCGAGGGTCTCAGGCCGTGCGCCTGCACTAGAGACTGGAAGGGATCTGACCTCTCCAAGACACGAGAAGGCCGGTGTTGCATTCAGGAGCAAAAGGGCAGAAAGTGGCCTCGGATTCAGAGGTCTCACGGAGAGAAGAAAACTGCCGTTGGGATGGGGAGGGGTAAAAAGCAACCCCAAACACCCCCCTCCAGGTCAGGAAACCAAGAAGGCACACGGAAGGAAATGCAAAAAGAAAACATGGAGGAAGAACTCACGGCCCAGTGAGGCTTTGTTCAGCACTGGAGGGGCACGTCCTCAGGGGAAGTGATGGTGGGCCACTAGGAGGGTCTGGCTTTTCTACGGCCTTAGCAGAGCCAGGTCATGAGGAGTTAGTTGCTTTTGGTGGGCCCTCTTGGTGGGGAGGGCCAGGTCATGGGGGGCCGCCCAGGCAGGGAAGAAGGGCAGGTGCGGAAGAGCAAGGAGGGGTCCTCCCTTCCTCCCTGTGTGCAGACCCCAGAGCAGGTTGACCCTCGTTGGCCTGGGCTCCAGGACTGAGCCTCCTTGGACCAACCCTGTGATTGGTCAGCTTCTGTGAAGGATGAACCTGGAGGGCAGGCTGTGCCACTGTCACCCCCAGGAGGGGCTCAGGCAAGACCTTTTCTCCCAAACCCCTCAGGACACAAGGCTGAAGTCACCAGCCCCCCTGGGCTCTGCCACTGGGGAAAGACAAATGGGTCAATGTCAACACTGACTGTCAGCATTGACGTCATAGTTCAGATGTGGGTGTTCCCCAAAAGCTCCCGTGTGAGACAATGAAGATTTAGAGGTGAAGTGATTGGGTTGTGAGAGCCTTAACCCAGTCAGTGAATCAGTCCCCTGGCAGGGATTCGCTGAGTTGTCCTGCAGGCAGGTGGGTGTGGCCGGAGGAAATGGATCCTGGGGGTGAGGTTGAGGGTTGACATTTTGTCCCTGTTGAGCTGAGCTCTCTCCCGGGCACCATGTTCCCAGCTGTTTTCCACAGCCACACACTTCCACTGGGATGTTCTAAGGCACCTTGTGCCCCAAGGAACGGAGGCGAAGGAATGTCTGTGGACCGAGACCTCTGAAAATGTGATCCTGGAATAAACTTTTCCTCTAAAATTGGAAAGTGTTTTGGTCATGTAGTGGCACCCCCTCCTCCACAGAACACCTTAATTAAGTTCTCCAGAGACCCTCACCATAACTGTTC